ATATATATATATATATATATATATATATATATATATATATATATATATATATATATATATATATATATATATATATATATATATATATATATATATATATATATATATATATATTCCCTTCAACAGCTTCTTCTGACCGTAAATTGCCTTCGCTCGACTGCAAATGGAATCCAGCCATTGAGCCGCGAGGTCATGATATTAAAGCTAACGCATGGCAATCATCGTCTTTGGACAAACTTGAGGGCCTTCTGGAGAAGAGGAGACTTTGACCACGTTGAGGCAGCCCATGCGGGGGTGGGGGGGCGTCTGCTTCTCTCGGGAGACCACCACTCCAGTCCGAACGCCTCTTTCTTTAACCGTATTCTTTATGACCGGCATTTCGATCTCGATATCATCACATTTCGTCCTTGAATTTAGACCCAATATATATATATATACACACACACTGATGTACACACAATTATGGCGTGTTTCAACCTCAATCGATAAAAACCCGATAGCGAAGGCCCAAACATACGCTATGGCCCAACCGAGCCTAAATGGAGTGTGGCCCCTTTTCCACCTCCCTCTCCTACTCGATCCCTCGCCACTGCTGCCGGCGATATTGGCGACGCTCGGGCAGACAGGCGATCTTCGCAACGCTTAGACTCCGGCAGCGCTCTCCAAGGCCTGGTAAGAGCCGCTCCTCCTCCACGTCGCTTGTGAGCTCGGCCGGTTGTTTATAGTCTCCGATCTCCAGACTCTGCAGCGCTCTCCAAAGCGGCCCTTCCTCACTTTTCCTCGCTTGCGAGATTGGTTCTTGATAGTTAGGGTCTTGGATTCCATCTTTTTTGTCCCTCTCATCTCCAGTCTCCCTCCACGCTGCAATGCTCTTAATAACGTGGTAAAACCCTCTCTCCCTCGTGAGCCGGTTCTTGATGGTTAGGGTCTGGGTCGACTGTTCTACGGTTTCGATCGCGATCGTTACACGGCGTCTGTATATTAGGGTTGTCTCCTACTCGATCCATCGCCGGCATCACCCTAAGCGAGCGTTCCCGGTCCAATTTCGAGTTAGGGTTTGGCTTCCTGCATATGAAAGCTCTCTCTCGCTTTGCTTCTTGAGAGTCGTGAACACCATCTTACCGAACGTGATAGTTCTTGGTAATTTTTTATTAGTACGATTCCGATCTGTAGTTCGATTCTGTATGTTCTTGATCTTTCTGGATCATGGTCTTCTATTCGATGCCGATGAGAAGTTCTTGGTCCCCATTCCTTTGCCTGGTGGTCTTCTTGTTTGGAGATGGCGTTAGTTGAGTCTATTGCAGGTTCTGATGCTTATAGTTCCTCTTGGCACGATTCGATCTTCTGTTTAAGTCTTTCCGTTCTTCGTCTCCATGGATCTTGATTATGGTGTTATTCCTTGTGAGAAGGCTTCGTTCCCCATTCTTTCGTTATGTGTGCAGTCTTGAGCGCCTATAGTGCTGGTATTGCTTGGTGGTCTTCTTATACGAAGATGTAGTTAGTTAGGTGTACTGTGTATTTCTTTTCATGAGAGACTGACCCCATTCTGATCTGTTGGCTCATTGGGCACCAAAATGGACACTTCATGATTTTGATTGAATCATTCTTTTTCTTTTACATTAGTGTTTTTTCGTTTCTATAGAAAGTTGGTAGCTGATAAGGGACCATTTGATCAGCCATTGGTGCGACCGTAGGCTCGATTGTCGGCTTTGAGCGATGGGTATACGACTACGGTTTTATTCTTTCGGATAAGCATGTGAGCTCCAAAAGACATCTCTGAGGGTAAAAAAGATCCAACGGACGTATGAGCCATTGGTTTCATACTCCTTAAGACTAAATGGTCTTATGCCCCCTTATCAGTAGCTAAATGCGGACTAAATGATCCCTTATCAGTAGCTATTACTTTTTTCTACTTTAAATCAAACCGATGTTTGATCACCAGCTCTATATCATATTACCTTTGTCCCTTTTAGAATTTTGTCCCCTCCTAAGTTCCTTGTGGATATCAGCTCTTGTTTGTTCTGTCTGTACAGCCGTGTAATTGATGATGTTGGACTTTGGATTATCAAAGGGCTTAGATGTGGCAACATATGTCGCAGGAGGCTGGTGATTTAACTTGAAAGCAATGGTTGTTACATTCCACAATCCCAGTGCAGCTTCTATCCTCGGGAAACTTAATGATTGCCTTCTTACACCCGCAGTTATATGAAGGGTAAGGTTTTTGGATGCTTTGTTAAGTACGGAATAATGCTGGTGCTTTAACTATGGCATCTCATCTTTGAATGGATTTTCTTAAGTTATCAAGCTTCAAAGGATGGCATTGCTATGTACATCGAGCGCACTAGATGCAGCTCCATCGTCGGATCATATCAATGTAGCTAGGTGGTACAACAATCACATTGATCCTCTGTTTAAGTTGTGGTATGTGCTTGAACTTGGTTTAGTTTATTTGAACACAGGAGTCATACGGGTCATGCTGTTTGACCTGTATGATCTGATAGTAGAGGCATCTCTGAGGAAGACAAGGCTGCGAAAATTAAGACATCTGCGACTGAGGAGGCCTCGTCCTTTGCTGCTGTTATTGACAAGGTGATTTTGAAACTCTTAATGGCTTGTGGTGCACAAAATTCCTCAAAGGATATTATATATATGTATGTATGAATGGCACGTAGATATATTCTTTGCAAAACAAATTACACAAATATTTAACAATCTCTTGTGGAATACAATGTTCCATGGGAATAATGGTGGTAGGTAAATTGATGATTTATTTATTTTTTTTATTTTTAATCACAAAGTTACAAATTCAAGCCTGAGCAGCTGAGGAAGATGTGATGTGGATTTGTTTGGAGGCAGCTGAAGAGCGTGGATCATCGGCAAAGAAGAAAGAAGGTGAGTTTGATACATGTGTTTTGAGTATTTCATTCTATAGTTGTTGATCGGGTCTCTGTGTTTCAGGATATGTATCCTAATCAACAACAATGTTTGTAATCTTTCTAATTGTACGAACATGGTTACGTACCTACGCTCTTTCAGTTGTTTTATTGTCATCACAAACTTAACATTCTTATGGACAGCTGGAGAGTCTTGGGGACCCCTTACCATGATTCACTTGTACATATATATATACAACTATTTAATTTTTTTTAATTCTAATTCATTTCTTATAATATTTGTACAGATTTGTTAATTAAAATTTATATATGTACTAAATTTTTTTTTAATTCTAAAATAATATTTTTGATTATGAGATTATGAAATCTTCTAATTATAAAATTCAGCAAGTGTTAATCTATTAAACAAACCATCTAAATCAATCAATCGACGTAACTAATGTAATCTTTTGTCATTGACAATTGTGAATGCACGTCTAGTACATTCACAATATTGTTAATTAATGGCTCCTTCAGTCTCTCACTCTCACTCTCATATATACATCATAGTTGGACGTTTTACGGAATGACAGACCGACATGGATGCTCAAAACCATGGGAAGAGGCGTCGTCGTCGTTCACGCCGGTTATCTTGGGGGGATGGCGTCAGGTGCAGCCTCTCCACATTCTGTAGTGCCCACCTCTGGAAATCGTCAGTAGACGCCAACTCCATGAGGCCTTTCCTGGTCTGCTCCTTTGTAAATGCATCCCACTCCTCCCTCGTGTAACGCCTCCTCCCGGGGATGCGATGGAACGTGGAGCAGTAGTTGTCCTTGAGCAATATCTCTGGCGAGGGCGTCGAACTCCGCCCTGCACAAGCAGGCAGCAACGGCGCTCTCCACAGATACTAATGGTAGTGTCTCAATCAGAAATTGTGCAAGAAGTGCAAACCTGAAGATGAAACCAGTTCAAAATCATCTCGAGGGTGGTCGGATGGCCAAAGTTCATCTCCTCTTCTACGAATGGGCCTGGTCATTCGCCTGAAAGTTAAAATCATCACTAGCAGCTTAGCTCATTCATTAAAGCTTGTATTTGAAAGCCCAAAAGAGTTAAAACATGATGAATTTAGTCTTTTCCCAGACTCAGTTACTACATCTGAAATCAATAAAAGAAGTAATTTTTAGTCCCCAACAACATCGGCCCGCTCTGTCATGGATGCTTCTTAACATTGATATGCAAGGAATTTCACATAAGGTTGAATTTAACAATTAAATGAAGGGAAACCATCGTGACAAGCCAAATGGAAATTACACCCATGTGGATGACAAGCCAGACGAGACTCATTACTGGTTTTCTGTGGCAACCATTGTATTTGTTTGTCATCAATGTGCCGATAGTCATCATGCATAATCATATAAGAATGAGAGAATAAGTCACAGGGTGCAGAGAATCATATGCATGGTCTAAAGTTTTTGGTATTCTCAATAGTGGTGGTTCAGAAGATGATGATGTTTGATGCAGAAAAAATTACTCATAAAACCATACAATCTACCACTAACTTTGCAAGGCAACATGTTCAGCACAATATTTCCAAGAATATATGTATCAGCTTACCTGAATATGCGTCGTAAATATCGTAATCTTTTTCTCTTCGTTATAGCCAGTATACTAATAGTAAGACCTAGTATCTCTGCTGCAAAAAGAGCATCCAAAGAGCTCTACACAAAAGGGGGAGTAATAACTTCAGGAATTATCTTGGAAACAACACAAAGGATACTCCATAGTGTAAAGAAGGTGGAAGCAGCAGCTTCAACATAGTTTTAAAAGAAAAAAAAAAAACTGGAAGCCAAAGAAATACCTGAAGTATTAGAACTGCAGAAAGTATCAGCGTTGCCCATTCAATAAAATAAGCGACACTAGAATCAACCGATCCTTCCTCTGTCAATACAAATTTCCGGACACCCCAATAACCAAACCAAGCCCCAGCTAACACAAGGCATACAAGAAGCAATATGACCAACTGGAGAATGGAAAATGGTAAAATTTAATATTAGTCCACCAGGAACATATCATATATAGAGAGAGAATAATAAGCAAAGGTTCTCAGCTACAATTGCTATATGTAACTGGTTACCAACAAAAGATGACTAATGAACTATCAGAGAAAGAATTACATATAAGACACGAAGTTCCCCTTTACTTTTATAAATAAAATGGAAATACAGATATATTCATCATGACTTGAACCAAACGAATTCCACATGCCACAGATTTAACAAATATGAAAAGGGTGTACCAAAAAATTGTTAAAAAAGGCAATGTCCCAGACCGACCCAAAGATGAGTTGCAGATAGTGACTATAGTGTTGCAGTAACTATTAGCCTCAAGGCGATGTCAAGCAAAACATGGAAGTAATTTTCAATAAGGAGATTAAGGGTGATAATCGAAGTGAAAGGAATTGACAAGGATAATAAAAATTACTTCCAAAATTAAATTGGTCGTGTAAAGCCATCATTTCTCAAAATCTTATATATATATATATATATATATATATATATATATATATATATATATATATATATATATAAGACAGAATATTAAAACATTACATCACGTAAATGTTGTCGAGGAAGACTAGGACAATAAAAATATGTACATGAATATGATCACAACCTTAAACTAAACTAAATCAAAACAAACCAAAACTAATTCTGACTAAATCACACATGCACTTGACAAATGCATTTTCTTTGTACTAAGTTCAATATGAACAACAAATTAAACATGGTTGCACAAATCAGGTGACATTACTAAGGAGTTATATATTACATATTGCCACCAGTTCATTCCAGATACACGCACCTGTTCATAAGTTCCAACCATGAATAATCTTGTTTCAACCATCAGATTAGCTTAAGGAAAATTTCTACATTCACGTAAATCCCAATCTTCCTTCATGACTCAACTAATTTATTCAATTAGCAGACATAAGCAACAGATTCTTGCAACTCAAAAGGACAACACAACTCTTGTTGTGATAAAACATAACTAACCAAAATGAACATACCATCATAACCATTTGGTGAAACAACTACTTATTCTATATCATCATACGATGTGCATTTTTTTCTAATTCATGATGTATCCGAATAGCTAAGATGAAACCCTTCTCTAGTTATGCTGATATATCATGCTATCAATGCACAAGTGGACAATGCATGTAATGTTATGATCCTTATTGATCTGCTAAGAATACGAACTGCAAACAATGGGAAATTTGTAAATATACAAAAAGAATCAGCTTTAAGCATTAGGCCACGATAGAACACAACTATCTAAAGCATAAAGAAAGAAAGAAACTTACATACAGGATAGTGCATGTCTTCACTAATTCCTATCTCAACAAGTATAGTTCGCAATAATCCAGATAGATAACCAAGAAGAAAGGCCCCAACGCCAACCTGCCAAAGCAAAACAAGATGATATTGCATCTAAGTACAGAGAATAATTGAGTGTGTAAAGTTGTAGAACTCACGATGGATGAATAAAGACATATAGCTAGTGAGCTCCTTCGTCCTGTTGGCAATAGCCTCATGCCCTATAAAGAAACCATACAAGACAAGATAAGTAACCTGGAATACCTAGGCACATATTAAACTTTACCCTATTTCATATTCAAAGCAAATCTCATATAAGCCTTGCTATATTTGCCTAACTTATATTTGATGTTTGAAAGATAAATTTTGATGTTTTAATGTATTATTTTATCTCAATATAGACATGACCAGTATGAGATAATTTTGTTTCCCTGTCAAGAGCGGGTAGAGAAATTCCCTTTGGGGATTAGCAAACCGTCAGAGGTGACTAGACGGTTCCTCTATCCACTATTGGGAGAAACGTATCCTTACTTTGGCAGGTGAAAGACATCACTCCATCCGCTGTTGAAAGTACGACATGGGTTTGTCTCCATCTGCTATTGAGAGAACACAAACTCATCCCGTAAGATAAAGCCTCTCTCTGTCCTCTGTTGGGAAAGTGCTCCTTCAGGTATTTGATATACGTCAATAGGATGATTAACTTTCGAACATGTATTTGGTTTACAATTGGCTTATAAGGGTTCCTACTCAACGTTGCTGAATTTTTTTTATTTTGCTTTTACTTTCAAAGTAGCCTCCTAGTATCACTAGGCCAGATTCCAGGGGAAAGCAAACCTTCATCTACCACTAGGTGATCCAGTTATACTTTATTCTTAAGTGGACAACACTATGTTTCTCAAATAAAGCACATGGCTAATTTTGATTTATATTTGATGAATAAATAAATTATAATAAATATTTATAATTTATGCATATTAATAAAATGATGTTTATTTACTTGGCTCTTGATGCACCTTTGGAAAGATGTTGTCTCCTATAAAAACAAAAAATAAAAATCCTGTTCAGAAAATCCCTCAAAAGAAGAGATGAAATCATTCAAAAGAGAAAAGCTTCATTTGTTTTAGCTTGTTTGAAAAGAAGAAGAGGAGATAATATGAATCCTGTTCAGAAAATCCCTCAAAAGAGGAGATACGATGCATGAATAGCAATGACTTGAAATCATTCTCTCCTTTGACAATTAAATGTGAAGCTTCTTGTCTATATACATCGATCAACTTTAACAACTTGAATACAGTCAGCAACCAGACAAGAAGATCACAAGCTGCTAGAACCACTTAAGTAATAACAGCTTACCTATTCAAACTAGCATTTCCTATGTTTTGTTCTATAGTTGCCATCAAGGAACAAGGAGAAAAGAAGCACATATATTATTTGAAGCTTATCAAGTTATGTAAGACCATTGAATGCAAATTAGACATCACTAAATTCAATAAAGAATCTAAGAGGCAAAAAAAACTGTTCACAAATCAGGGAATGTAAAATAAACTACAGAAATAGTTATACCAACATATGAGAAGTTATGAGCTCAGTAGATTTCAGAAATAATTTATTAGATAAACAATTACCTGAAAAAGGATGACAAGCATCACCACTATGATCCCTAAGGTCATCGCACCACCGTAATAGAAGACCACTGACTCGCTCAGACTATGAGCTGCTGCCATCATAACCATCCCCAATACTAGAAAGACCAAACGATGTACCAGAATTTCTGCAAGACATATGATCGAACATGTTAACCGCCATAATCAAGAACCAGGGATAACCCCAGAACCCAAATGCGTCATCGATTCAAGAATGGGAAAACTGGCACCTTCTTCGGTTGAGACCTCAATCGATCTTGATGGGTCCGGTGGCATCCGCATGTCCAAGATCCGGTGCTCGTATGGAGACATCGATTTGACCCAAGCAGTCTTGGAGAGCTTCTGCCACTGCCCAGAGGGGCACATTCCTAACCCGATGGACATGTTCCTTCCAAGAACCCCAAATAAAAGACGTCAACGGACGATACAAGAATCAACAATAGCAAATAAGAAGAGCTAGGGTTTACTTGTGGAAGCAGATCTCGACGGTCTGGATGCGGAAGAGGGTGTCGCCTTCGTCGACGGAGACCCTGACCTTGAGCGCTCGGGGGTATTTGGAGGGGTGACGGAGCCGCGAGAAGCCATGGATGTGGACGCGGTTGCAGGACAGGAGGGCGCCGGGGGAGCCTTCCACGGTGCGGCCTGGGGGCAGGACGATCTTGGAAGGGTGGGCGACGACTGCCTCCAAGAACAAGAACAAGAAGAAGTGGGATTAGAACGGCCGGCTCTCGGAGATGAGGAGTAAAGACACCAAGTACAAAGGAAGGGTGTGGTTCGTTACCCGAGACATCGTCATCCGCGACGGCGACGGAGACGGAGACGGAGGAGGAGGCTGAGATCAAGAACAAGAAGACGGTGATAAGGAAGAGAAAAGGGCAAGAGAGCGGGGGACGCACGGAGCACCGCATCAGTTGTCTTGGTGTTACCGCATCGGTCGTCTTGGTGTTGCGTGTTATGCGCCGGGTTCGGGGGCATATAACGTGAAGGTTCTTTCCGGCCTGGGAGCGTCCGGCCCGACTCACCCATTCTACCAGGTGATCCTCACCGTCAATCCTGCCAAAGAGTGCCATTCACGGTGAGGATCATCTGGACCCACAAATGGGCCCCGTACTCCCAGAACAGGATTCCAGCTTTTCTGGACACCCACACGTAGCAATACGACTTTGACTTGGTCAACTGAGAACGTACTTTGGAGTTGACCCAAATCTGACTCACATAGCATAATAAGCCTCCGATAGCCTTGTTAGGGACTATAATTCCAATTCAAATCCGCGATGCACCAACCCGGCCTAATTTGATTGGATTTGACCGGCATTGACCACAAAAAAGAGATGGATATATGATTAATATTGTTGGTGAATAAAGATGTCGTGGCTAATGGGTCACGGTTAGGTCCACGGGTCGATGTCGGGAGTTCTCTGTTGGCTGAGCTGAACGCTCAGGTAGGTCAAACTTTCGCGACGAGATGTTGGTCAGCGTTTGTTGGTCCAAGCGCCGTCAGCATCGAGCTGCGTCTCTCCGTTTTCCGAGATAAGTGACAGCTCGACCTCCCTCACTGGGTGGCGATTTCCTGGTCGAGGCTCTCGTGGCTCAGGACGATCGCCTACTTGCAAAAAAGGTCTTCGTCGGGTGATTCCTATCTGTAGCCCCTCTGACGAGCAAATCAGTTGTTTATGGAATTATTTTTTTTTCCCCTAGGGCCGGATGCCGACGAGAGGTCTTTATACTATTGTCCGAGGGTCAGTCGTATGCGAGTTGACGTGTTGGACATGTCAAACAGTATCTTGGTACGGATTCTGACTTGTCGTGTCTTGAGGGCGATGTCGTCTTGGGATTCCCGAGACATGCCAAACAACGATTTAATATGGATTCTAACCTGACGTGTGACACCGGATGTGACGTATCTTGAACCCCCTCTCAAATATAAACAAAGATTAAAATTTTCTATCATCAAAGCCCTTTTACTAAGCAGATGAAGCTACTGAGTCGACGAGACCATCAAGCGTCTTGCAGAGGTGGTCGGAGTGCGGTGTCTTTGCAGGGAGAGGCAAAGAGACGGCGGCGTACCGAGGAAGTCGAAGCTCAAAAGTCAAAATCATTAGAACATATCTTCAGCGGGTACCAAAGCCTCCAAAACCATGAGAGCTTTTCAAGATGCCAAAACATCGGAATCAAACGAGAAAACGACAAACATACGGAGAACGCTCTTTTGTCTGCCACCATGTTTGATCCACAGCAGAATACTACTACAGATCGCAGGGAGGACAACAGAGACGACACTGCTGCTTCTGCTTCGCCTTTGCTGATGCATATGCTCTAGAAGAGACGTAAAAAGTAGCTCAGCTTCCGACCTCGGCAATGCTCCGCAAGGCTGGCCTCCACCGCCCATGCCGTGCCGGTGCTGCTCCACCAGCTCTGGCCCTCGTTGTCCGAGTGGCGGCGGTGGTTTCCGCCGCCATCATCCCGCGCACCACCTCCTCCAGCTCTGTAGCCGCTTTTGCTTCCTCCTCCACCTTCACTCACGTCGTAAAAGGAAGAACAAGAAAGCTTGCCGGTGAAGAAATCAGTGAAGGGCAAGAAAAACATACTGTCGCCGGTGACCCGACGGGCTCGAACACTCGACGTGACTGATGCCGCCGGCCTCCGGCAGAGGCGGGGCCGCTGCCGTTTCCTCTAGTGGAACTGGGGGACGTCATCTCCGTCGGTTTCGCGAGCAGGCGACTCAGCCTGACGTGCCTCTTCGACGCAAACTCCCTCGGTACGTCTGCAACAATGAAAGGCCTCCCCGTCTCTCAATCCCAGCAATAGGAAGAAGGAGATTGAGCAGATCAAAGAGAGGCGGACAGAGGCACGGAAACCTACGCACCTTGGAAGCTGACGAGGCGGTAGACATGGCCGATGTGGAGCGTGTCGTTAGCACGGAGCAGCCTGAGGTGTTTCACCCTCGCACCGCGGCCACCGCCGCTGTCATGACAAGCGGAGGAGGAGGAGGCGGCGGAATTCAGCGCTGAAGGAGGAGGCGCGACGATGATGACGGCCACGTAGTGACCCGGGTTGGCGGCCATGACTTGGCTGGCTGTGAGGGACCAATACGCTCTCTCCACTCTGCCTCCCGGGTGTTGGATCACCACCGTCGCCGCCTCCGCCGCTTGGCAATTCCCCATCTCTCTCCCTTTCACCTCCTCCTTCCCACTTTACGTGTGCGCAGTACCGCAGAACACCGACTTCTATAGTATTTGATTGGATGAGTAATATATATGGATTGGACTATTTATGTCTTGAGCTCAAATATGATCTATTAAAAAAAAATAGAGACGTGCGTGGCACGTGAGAATATCGAAAAGCTCAAATATGATTTTAAGATTCTTATGAGCATAGGCTTTATCGATTTTGATCCAAATTTTATGTAAAGAATCCTTGATACGAGTTCTACTGTCAACACTAACGATGATGATCGCACTAATAATATAGTATTCCGGACATCAAAAAGGATGTGCAATGAGTGCTGTTATGGCCATCACAGCATCATCTTCATCATCAGCATGTAGAGAGTCACCGACACATGCAGAGTGCGACGTAAATGACTAACACTAACACAACACACCGATATTGCACTTCGAAGCTGAAGATGATCTAAAAGGCATCTGCAGACATCGTTCGACTCTAACTGGCCAAGCCAGTATACAGATTGGACATGTCTGGAATGGGTATCCGCAAGCAGTTCTGTGATGGGTTCAGGTGGGAAGAGGATTGACCTTTCGTGTGGTTTCTATCAGTCCCGAGTCGAGTAGTCACAGCTTGCTTGTTGCAGGAAAACTGCAGATTCCTTTGCGTGTTATCATGAGAAACTGATGGGGATGAGTCCATGTACTTCTCTAACTCAATACTACATTCTAGTTAAGGTTTTAGATGATGCAGACAAGTGGTAGGATGAGGAAGAAGAATAAGAGTAAAGAAGATGTACCTCTCTCACTCAATGGTCTGTGAAACTACATTCTACTTCTGAGTTTTAAGATCACCAACGGAGATGAAATAGATGCAGATAAATAGGGTAACAAAATAGATGCAGATTGCCATGGTTGAAGTATCTTACAGACTAGTGTGTATGTACTGTATTTGCACTTATCGGAGCCACCCAAGTATGGTGGTATTTCCTACTCTAAAATAGTTTTTCTAGTTAGCTTTTGCTTTTGTTACGAGACATTGTTGCTACCGACCGCACAAGCTCGAAATGCAAGATAGAAATATAAGAATTCATAGATATCATCCCATTAGATTATAAATTCAAACTATATGAGATAATCTTTCTGATGGTATTAGAAAGATTATAAGTTCAAACTATAGTAAGCATACCAGAGAGACATGAAATCTAGCTGAGGACGAGGAAGAACTTTTTGGGCCTCGAGAGCTTTGTTGGATCAAATTGGATTGGATCAACCAGTGCTCCTCCTCTCTGATCACTCTGTCTTCTACATCATGGAGCCACGCATGTTTCCTACGCCAGTCATGCTGCTGCATCTGCTTTGGTCATCTCTTCGGCTAAGCATGTTCTCGGATTTACGAACAGTAGATGGATAACTACAGATCACATTTGGTAATCTGTTTCAGGGGAGGAAATGACTAAAGATGCGGTCCAAATCTCGGACTTTTTTTATCTGGGATCATTTGGTAACGGGATCAGACGCAGGTGGTAAACCTTCAAGTTGCTGTCATTGACAGTTCAAAAGCTCACTGCAGGCATCGGCCAATTCACTGACAAGCCTCTCTTAATAGTTGGGGGCGCTGCAGACATACGGCACAAATGAAGGAGCTTGGACCAGATCATCAAAGAAAAAGAAGAGGATCATTGAAGCGAGTTCACGAGATGCTGTGATGTGGCGTGGGGCTGTCAAGTACCTCGCCCCCACCCCCCCTCCTGTTCACTATTAATGGCAGCTATAGTTGAGCTGAAGCAGATGAGTACAGTTGGTACTGGTCAGTAATGGAGGCATTGCTCCCCAGATCATTCTATCACCACTGTTTTGGGGCAGTCTGTAACGGCAGGCAAGAAGGCAGCAGCTCAAGTTTGTGCTGTTGCTTTCGTTCTCGAGAAGCCAACGGGCTGTAGCAGCGCAGCTCATCATCAATACGATGTGGAGCATCCAACATCGCTGCTACGGCAATCCATCATGCTGCTTCGTCTCACTCTCACTCGGTCCACCAGAGAATTGAAGGTGGCTTGGTCCACGAGCCAGAAAGAAGGCACCACAGCAGCACCACTTCTGGGAAGACACATGACCATCGGCTAGAATCCAAGCAAGAATTTATGATGGAGGAGGAGGTTAATCAGTGACCGAGTCAAAGTGTCTGAGGCAGGTTGACTGACCCAGGGCTGTCAAAATGGGTGGGCCCGATGCACAGCATGGCAGGTTAATTAGGTGGCCAAGCCAGGGGTGACATGGCTGGGTGACTGTCCTTGGCCCCCTCATGCAGAGATCCCAAGGCGGTGGCACAAACCAGCCTGTGTAACAGCACCTTCTGCATGCCCCCTCAGGAGAACAGGAGTGCCATGGGAGAGGGGTGGAAGGGAGGGGGGAGGGGAATCAGAGGTTGGGTAAATATGTTTTGTCTCTTCCTTGGGCTACTTTCCATGGCGAGGCTCTTTACTGCTACTGCCACTGATCTTTCAACCAGTGCCCTCCTTGTGGGTCCTTCAGAGCTGCCGTTGCCAGGGGCTCCTCACATGCCACCCCCCTCACTCTATCCAGCCTGGACCCTGCCTTTGTCTTGTCAATTCTCTCTTGCTGCCATTGAGCCCATGGCCCTCAAATTGGCTACAACCCTGTGGCCATTCTCCAAGAAAGAAAGAGAGAGAGAGAGAGAGGATAGGGTTTCAAAGCAGAGAAAACACCTCTTGACCTTTTTTATATCCTTCTCTTCTGCCTTGGACTCTCTGGAGGGCATTGGTGGGCATAGGTGAAAGGGACCTCAAGCTATTTTATGTCATCAGTCGGGAGACTTTGGAGGATGCTGTCTCATGCAACCCCACTGGTTGAAAACTTGGACCTTTTGTCTCTTAAATATGTATCAATATGTCGAGTGTTCTACATAGCTCCATTTGCTAAAACATTTCATCAAACATTGGCCATTTGTCCTCCTCTCATCGACTTCATGCATGGCGCTGAATCACCAATAGCAGTTGTATCACATGAACAGTCTCAGCTTTGGTTTCAAACAAAATAAAGATTCTGATGAGCACCTTCAACATTTCCTTTTGTCTCTTTTCATCTGTTTGCCAGCTCTGAGTAGCCATGTTTCTCCCGTATGGCTCACTGGGAAGGATTCAAAACACCAACTGGTTCTTTATAATATGTTCATCTTTTTGGACCTCCATAGCATGTTCGTCTTCATAATGGTGGGGGAATTGTGTCTGATGAAGGAGAGCAGTACATTACGCTTTGCATGGCAGTGAATGCTGGCGTTTTCACTATGGTACTATGGGCTGAGTGTATGGAGGGAGAATAAGCAGATTTCCAAAGAGTTAAACCTCTCCCAAAGTCGTGGCAAAGCAACATGAAGAACTGTCAACCGGAGTTCATGCGTTCAAATGGTAGTTCCAATCAAGCATTTGCTGGCACTTTCCATTGCTTCATGTCTTCGTCCATTGCATACCAACCTTTTGCTTTTGTTTCCCGGTCTGCGAATATGGACATCAAACAAAACACCAATTCCCTGATTGGCTGTCAGCCCCCAGTAGAACTCATGCGATGACTCTCCCCTCGGAGAGAACCTAATGATGCAGTTCTTAACACAGATTTGCGTCTTGACCTTGGATGTGTTGAGGCTATAGGTTGAGTACAGTTAAATGTGGACTTTGCTTGCACAACAGCCAACAAAAGCAGCAGTGCTAAAATAGGGGTGGCACGTATAAATGGCTCCCATGTTCCTCCTAAAGGCGAAGGGACACAAAGAAGAAAGATAAAAGGAAAAGTAGAGGAAGAGGAACACAAGCCAAAAGAAGTTGTTCTTCTGAGGTTGCGGATGGCAAGTAAAGCTCCCCCTCCCCTAATGGAGCTGCAAGACACGAGAGTAGAGCAGAGTCCTATCACACTGTTCTCTTTCTCCTCCATGCCTAGAGCGGCAATAGCTTTGCTTGGTCACTACTTGACTGAGTGCAGATCACAAAACAAAATCAAACTCATTATGTACATTGTTGCACCTAAATCTTTCCTATGGATCATAAAACTAAAACGTAGCTTTCTATCAGATTCGATAAGACTCATTAATCCACGCAAGCTCCCTGCGGGACCCACAAATATGGTCACGGTCATGGGGAACAGCGTTCTCTGTTGCGACCGTCGCACTCGACCCTGCAGGGGCACCACCGTGATTTGAGAATGCCGCGAAACGACGAAACGCTTCTTTTCCGTCCGCGTTCCCGCGCAATACGGTCCGCTGGCGTCCACATGTCGCATCAGTCATATCCGGCCGTTGACTAGGCCATACCTTTGAATGTGGGACGGTCCGGATCCGATCTCATTGGGTCGTTGTCGCACTGACTTGCGCCAATTCCCCGTCCAGATCATCCACAGTCCATCAGTCGTCCATCGATCAGACGACAACAACGCGTCGGAAGATTTGGGACGGACGAGATCTCTCGACGAAGATGCGGTCGGACGGCCCCGCTGGTCCACCCAAAGGACCACAGCCTGGCGTCAGATCGCGGAACTTTCACGTGATAGATATTACCACTCCCGTCTTATCCCAACTCACGGTTGCATTTCGCATCCACATCAGCGGGAAGGGGTACACCAGAAATAAAAAGATGGGTGAGAGTATCGGTTTTAGGGACGCGTCATGGGGCGTCGTTGTTGTCGTCACTACGGCAGAGAGCCCGCGTACGGAGTGGGGCCTGAGGCGATCCACCACGTGGGCCGCACGTATTGGCCCCCAAAATCTATAAGCTCCAACATTACCGGGAATTAGGAGGCAGAAGGGCCGGCTATCGAGATCCAAAATACCAAATCTGCCCCCGGGCCAAGTTCTTTATTCACCCCAACAACATATGATTAGTATTAAACCCTCGTTCAAAAAGAATTTATTATGATAAATAAAAGATAGGAGGGAGAGGGTCACAGTAAACAAAAAAGAAGAGATGCACTGAAATCCAACTCTGGTCTCACACCACAAAGCTATTTAAGTATTCGATAATGATGAGATT